TGGAGCACTTTTATATTGCGAATACCACGTCTAAGCTCAATCCTAAATTCTGAGCCAAGACCTTCAATGGAAAATTCAAACCATTATCGTAGTTAGCATCTTAATTTGCTCATTCTAGATGCGTCTGAGCTTAGGTTTCAAGGTTTGGTTTTTGTTGACCTGAACGACAGCATGTGTACGCGAGTGATAAGAGTGTTAGAAGCGTGGGCTCGTATATGAAGGAGTGAAAGTGCGAGACATGGAAGGTTGATGATTTAGTGATTGCGATGAAAAGCAATGAGCATGACTTTAGTGGTCCAAGCATTTTGAAGAATAAGGGATCATCTACCCATTGATAAAAATAGTTTAATAGACCCGCAGCTACAAAAACTAACTGAGCTCTTCCTTAAGGTGAGATTTTTCAATATTTAGGCAGACTTACGAATCTACTCCTCTTCTTCTCCTCCAGCAGATGGTATAGCTATCTGGTACGTAGACGAACCACAAAGTGGGCCGGCTTGGGGAGGTCCAACGAACTTTTCGGGAATAGCTATCGGTAAGAAGGTTTTCTATGCTATTTCACCCTAGGCTGCAACAAACGTTTGACGACTTTTTTCTAACAGGGAAACTTTAAAAAAATTCCCATAATATATTTTTGACAATTCACGTTGTCAAAAATGTGAATGTGGAGATCTTTTGTTACGTATTAGAGGGAGCAACGAAGAATTTGAGAGAACTTCGAAGGGAAAATTGTGGGAACATAGATCAAAATGGCATCCATTTACACACAGAAATCAATCATATGTTGGGTCCCCCTCTCATACATTTTTCTTAAGGAACATAGTAAATTTGTATGAAAAAGTTGAGGAAAAATGGTTTTTCTATCATTCGCGGTGTAGCGGAAAATTTGCTGTCAATCACATGTTTAGTTGCAGCATCTGTTTTAGTGAAAAAGGAAATCCTTTTGTAATGGAAACTTTGTAGCTTCCTTTAATTGTCGTCAACCAGACCCGAAACTGTCAGAAAATTGTCTTTGCCTTACTTCAGTGCTGGATACCTATACAAATGCGATAGACTCATCATCAGTACGACAGAGTACTCGTCTTTTCGCAGTTATCAGAAATCGCTCATTCGCAAATGTGCTTGATCCTTCCACGGATGGCAGCAATCTGAGGATTGATATTGACTGTGACTTGGGGTCAGGATATTCCAATGATTCATTCAGGACTCACAGAATCAAGTGGAAGTGTTTCTCTTTTTTTACAGAAACGAAATTGCCTTCAACAGAATTCCGCTATCATATGATCACGTTCCCAGTATACGAATATTAGTGCGTTATGAACACGAAAGATTAGGAGTTTACTATACTCTGCCTTTTCGCAACCAAGAACAATGGCAGCATTGTTTAAATGTTAGCGGTCAGTTTTTTTTTTACAAATTTACTTTATGGAGAAGATTTATAGTGATACTGATCGTCGCGATATTTCCTCGAAAACGGTTATGCGGTAGTTGCCGCGCTGTTGGTTTTTTTATGTTGAGCTAGGACTGCATTGAAGAATTCTAG